AGAGCACGGTCTGGGCATGTGGAAGATGCTATTATGGTGCTTGCACAAATCCTCGGGAGGTCTAAGATTGTCTCCTGAATGCTGAGTGCTGTTATTGCACAACATTGCAATAATTATTTTATTTAAAAGATTTTTTGGCCATCTCCTCAATACATTTTGTAACTCTTATTTGAGTAGTGTTGTTTCCTTTTCCTATTTCTGCTTGCCATTGTTCCTTTTCTTTACAATAAGCCACATCACATTTTGAGCCAGTTTATATACAGTATTTTCAACTAATAGGAAATTTATTTATCTGCAGTCCTGAGTTGTTCTTTGGACCCCCGTGGCCCTGCACAGGACAAGCAGATACAGAAATTGGATGGATAGATGGATGGATGGAGGATAATTTATTTTGGTCTTAATCTTTTGTGCTTTCACATGTTTTGATAGATTTTTAGTTAGATTTTATTTTCACATTTGCATATGTTTGATGACAATAATATATATTTGACCATTGAAATGCATGAAATTGATGTTCCTGTTATCTAGTGTCTGTGCTTTTCTCACGTGGACACTGGTGAGGAGCCAACAAGGAACTACTTTAAGTTAATTTGTTAAATTGAAGGGTTTTGGGAAACTCACAAAATTCACATGTTCTTTATCTACAACGTTTATCTTGTTTGCTGATAAACAATTCTCACATGGTCTTAAGAATATCTGCGCACTTTTTTTGCTTAAGCTTATTCTCCCATCGATTTAACTCTGATGCTTGTGTACGTTTATGCTTGATATGTGCAATACTGCAGTGAACAGAAAGCCAAACATAAGTCAAGTAACAAAATGAAACTTTTTACGCAGTACATTTAGAAATAAATGTTACACCAAGACGTGTGAAAAATTATGTAAGAATTATATAACAATAGCTTATAGAAATATGTTACCATTAGACTAGATTCAAGTGTCATCTGCCTTGTCAACATGCCTAGCAGGTAAATCAATTTGGCTAAATGACTGGCCAATTTAAAAATCATTCTTCCAATTAAAATGAATGTGTCCTCACAATCCTAAGCTGCAGTCCATGAACTTGTGCTCTTGTGAGAATAGGACTGATAGAAATAGCCAGAATACTTCAACCTTGTCTTGATATACTTCAAGTAACACTGAATGTATTGTATGTTTCCAGGTGGATCGTGAAATGCTCAGTTTTGAACCAATATGGGATGCGATTTGTCCTGTATTTTCATACACATACATGCACTTCAATCATACTTTACATACACTAGGTTAAGGATCCCCAACAGAATTATCTGACCAGGACACTTGCCTAACTGCTAACCATTCTATGCTAAATGGTGCAGATGTGTGGGTTTTTAGTGGAAGCGACTAGCAATTGGTTTGGAATAATACATTGCATTCTACGCTGTAGCATATACAGTAGGCTTGTTTGGACTATGCAGTTGATTGTGTTATTAAATTAGCAATGTATTCTAAACTTTCTGATGAGGGGAGAATACATGTAACTCAGAAGTGCGTAACTTTTAGCACCTCATGGGAGAATAGACCACTAAGATTGATCATTATCAGGAAATGCACCCCAGATTGTTGTCAAGCACTGCTTACCTTTATGGACTTAATTTATATAATTTCTGCATTTCAATTGGTGGAAAATATTAACTGGACAGAAATGTTTTGTTCAGTGAGGGTGTAGAATATGGGCGGGAAAAAATATTGATTTTATTATTAATTGCGATCCTGATTTTGACAATTCAATATCGATTCACAAAATCCCAAGATCAGTCTTGTTAATGTATGCCTTTCCCATGTGACTTTGAAAACATTTTCACTGAATTTTAGTTGTATCGGTCTCCTTATCATATACGTGGCGCTACTTTCACTCCCACCCATACAAGGGTTGAATGGTATTGTGTAACCGCCACCGTGCTGCCATCTTGGTGCACTGACAGTTACGGAAATGGAGTGCTCGGAGTATGTGAATACTGTCAAGAGAATTCAAGTAGGGCACCAATCATATTCAGTCCACTGTTTACAGTGACATGAAATAACATTATATAAAAGAAAAATATAGGGAAACAAAAGCAAACAATGTAAAGAGAAAACTTTACTGGATGTGACATTCCATCAGTTATGAGAATATTGTTATCTGTTTTCTTCAAATGGTGTGTGTAACACTAAAGCAAATTAAAGCAACTAAAAGTCTGGAGGCATAATTTTTTTTATTTCTGGATGGGTACAAGAACTGCAGAGAGAAAAATGTGAATGAAGTATTTCAGTGTATTCACAGGAAAGTACAATAATTAATTTTATGCTCATCATAATACAGTATATTGTTTCTCATCTTATTTTCATCATGTAATGGTGACTTGATTATGTTGCTTTGTTCTGCAATATTAACACTACTGTGTTGTGCCTGTTGCCATAGTTTTTACAACAAATCTGGTTTGACAGCACATCTTTTAAACATAAATTGAATAAAATTGAAATTTAACCCGATTGAGCACTTGTAAATCAAAATCGAATTTAATTGTGAGATCAAGGCTCATTCCCAGCCTTAAACAATACCCGTATGCTACTCAAATAAAAAGAATTAAAGATTGAAAATTATGTTTGGCACATATCTTTAAAGTTCTTCTGAAACATAGCATGTGAGTTTCATTTTTAGCTATTCTTTTCAGTCAGAAGTAATTTTTTGTGCTTTGAAAGATACAGTTTGGTTTTGGTTTTTTGGAACTATACCCATATGTTCCTCAAATAAAAAACTGATATACAAGCCTTTAGTCTTTCTTTTATGGTTTTCAGAACTTGTTTTCAGTCACTCTGCATCTGTAATTGTGTTCCATTTAGAGCTTTTTAAAAATCTTTACAAATATGAAGCTGTTATATAGTATTTTATATCTTATTCCAATCCGACTGATAATGAATTGGAATTGAATCAAATCCAATTGAACTGAATTGTTAGCTTGTGAAATGGAATGAAATCTAATCGGAGCATCTGTTCCAATACCCAGCCGTAGTGTAGAAAGTACTTTGACATAGAAAAAAAAGACATTTAGGATAAATCTAAACATATACCACCTCAAGTACTGGCACAGAATACTTTGAAATGTAAAGCATTTTTACTTCAGGAACACAATATATTTTCATTTAGATAATACACCAGTTAGAATGTAGACAGTGTAATAACATAAATTTAAAGTCAGTGTGTAATGTCACAAAATACTAAGATATTCCACAAACAAATTGATTTATAGTCAATTATTTAAAATTAATAAAAATAAATGAATAATCTTTCTCCACGTGATCCTGACCAGGATAGAAGGTTAGAAGATGCATGGGTAATAATCCTTAGCCCACCTTACAGAAAACATAAATTTACTTTAACTGCAGTACAGGAAATATAATATATACAACATACAACACAAACAATATAATAAAGAAGGATTTAAAAGTAACTGATGGTTATTAAAGGTTGCTTCTTATTCCTTCCTCCAAATGTAGCAGGTTTGATCAATAGAAATATTTTGAATTTTTTTTTAAATTAGCAACATTGTTATTTTCAAAAATTTAGCAAAAAGACAAATAGTTCCAACAATGGAAATATGTTGTTTTTAAGAGCCTGCTGAACACATGGCAGCCATTTCATGAGACAAATGAGAAAATTATACAACATGGCTGTTCATATCACAGGTCTGATGTAACCTTAAAGATTTTCGTCTGCCCCATTTCTATTTTATATTTGCGCAGCGCTGATATATTATGGCACGAAGAGCATAGCATTTAACAAACACATTAAGGTCTGCTCAAGTTATGTCGAAATTACAAAACTGACAAAACTTCTAGGAATAAAAAACATATGACGTCCAAGTGTATGACTACTTACTGCCTATAGTCTTAGGCAAAATAAACTACATAAAAGAAACTCAGCACAGGTAACTGGAATATATCTTGAGATGACGTGTTTCCCGAACATAGTCTTAGAGTTCCTAGCTCTCATAAATCTTTTAATATTAGCGTCGTTTCTGTGTATTATGTTAATGGCTCACCTCTTATAAGGAAAAAACGAAACGAACTAGGTCTGTCGGTTGTCCACACACTCCTTGCTTTGTTGGCGAATACGACCGGGCATCTTTACTTATAGAACAGTCCTTTATTAGTAGTATTATTTGTAACAACAACAATAATAATAATAATAATAATAATAATAATGATGATGATAATAATAATGATAATAATAATGATATTTCACATTAAATTATCGGTAACTTGCGTTATACTTACCTTAGCTACCCATTGCAAGAGTCACATGATCATTCTAGCGGCGCATTAAGTCACATGACAGGAGTCTTTACGAATGGCAGCGCTGTAAATTTATGTGGTGTTTCCTGATTGGCGCTCTGCGACTCTTTAGAGGCGGATTCACACTGTAACGCAACACTTTTGTTTCTCGCTCGAGCTTGTCTCCGCGGGTTTGCGAATGAGGTGGCGCAGTCGGAGTTCTCTGCGGCCTTTGCAGTCGAGTAATACATAAAACGTCTTTCAAGGGAGTAGCAATAAATACATTTAAGTGATATTGCTTATTTCGAGGATTGACGTATACAAGAACTCGGAAATCCATGGCGGTTAAAACGGTTTGCTAAAGCAAAAATATATCCTGCCAATGCATCATGCTATACAGGTAGCTAGATGGCTATGAGAGCAACGGGAACCGAAAATGTGTGATGTGGGGGAGGAAGAAAGAATAGCTATATAACTGGCGATGTCCTGTGGCTTTATTCAGTTTGCTCGCTACTTTTATATATTTGTACAAACATAATTATGGTTGCACAGAATTAGAAATTTGCAAACTATCCAGCTAAAGGACCGTGGGGTTGAATGGGCCTCCCACGTGAGAAACGTTCCTCTGTCGTTCTGACTCAAGAGACTTCCTTTAGCTCATTCCATGTAGAGGACTGGCAAACACCATCATCTCGACGCGCCTAGTGTTTCTGAACGGAATGGGGCATTTATCTTTACACAGTGCAGTCAGTGTAGTACTGTAAAAGCATGCCTAGGCGAGAATTCGCACAAGATAAAAATTCCGTTGCCTCAGTTATCCGGCTTGTATGTTTCATGCATTTAAAATGTTGTTTTTGCTGTAATATCTGCACTAATTTAAACGATTTTATGTTAGTTTTGGTAAAAAATGTCTTGAAAATTAGTTGTGCTAACTTCACTTTCTGTATTAAATAGCTTTTAGGAAGTCCAAGGAAAGGATCATAGAAGTTTTTAACAACCTGGAGTTGAAATTCTTGCAATGGCCTTCGCAAACTACAGCAGCTTAAACAGAGCACAGCTCACCTTCGAGTACCTGCACACAAACTCGTAAGTATCTGGTCAGAAGCGAATTCCATACACCTGCAGCACAAAACTCAGGTTATCTAGAACAGGGAAGAAGGTAGAAGTAGCATGCAGTCTTTGAAAACTATAGTGTTACATTTATTTGTCAATTAGGTTAATTTGTTACCTTAAAAAAGAGACTGTTGCCTCTCGATATGTCAGGCAAATATTACAAAGGAACATGTAATTTAGTGAGTTTTTTAAACTAAAATTCATTAGTATGGTTTCTTTTTTATTATGGAAAAATTAATTGGTACATTTGTCATGTGCAACAAAAAGCACATTTTAGCCAAGGATTATTGGAGTACATTCTTTTTAATGGAGATGGAAAATGGCATAACCAAAAGATGGCTGTAAATATTCATTGGTCTGTAATGAAAAATATTATGTTTTGCATATAAAAATTGCATGAATGACCTGAACTGCACTAAGCAATGTAATAAAAATGTTAAATCCATTGACATACACAATTTGAATGTTTTGTATACTTCAGCGAAGCATGACAGAGCTGCACAGTGAAAAAGCAAAATTAAAATTGAAAATGGCAGTTTTTGAATGTGTATGTCAATGAGTCAAACAATACCCTTAGAAGTCACTGGACCCAGTTAGTCTTAATAAAGTACACAGTCAGAAATGGATGTTAATTATTGAGGTACCTCTGGAAGACTTTCTTATATTTGGGATCATCGAACACTCCTAGTTATTTAAATAAATATGAACACTTCTTGATAGTATTCCTATCTCTGCACATGCCTCACAGTTTGGACAATATACTTTATCATCCACTTGTATAATGTGTTTTCATCAATTGCTCCACTGTTTTATCTCCACTGTTTCATGGTGAATAAATGGCTTGATTTTAGTAAACAGTTTGAAATTGGAGTGTCATGGTATTTTTGCCTAGTGACAAACATTTAATGATAATACAATATAATGTCATAGCCTTGTGGAGATCTAACGTGAGGACACTTTTCCTTGAATGGTAGTCTCAGTTAAAACTTTTACTGCTTATTGTTAAGTGCTTAATTTAAGTGTGTGTGTGTGTGAGTGAGTGATTTTTACATGGTGGGCTTTGTTTTAAATTCAGAAGACCAAAATGATGCCTTAATTTGTTTTGATTTGCATCTAGGACAACCCATGAGTTCTTGTTTGGAGCTCTGGCTGAACTGGTGGACAATGCAAGGTATCATTTTTTTATTATTCAGTGTCTGAATTGACTGCATTTTTTTTTTTACTGAAAGCCTTCTAAAATTAAGCAGCCGATAAGTGTAGCTACCTCTATTGGCTTATGCAGATCAGCACTGTCTCAAGTCATATCTCAACACAATAGAATTTTATTGTTCTCTCTTTGCAGGGATGCCAATGCAACAAGAATTGACCTTTATACAGGTAAATGCCAGAAAGTTAAAGTATTGTATACCCTGGATCTCCCTAGGGAATATATGTGATTTTGGGACTAGTTCGTTGCCTCTACAGACACTTTGCTTGTTAAGATGGTAATTCAGAAAGTTGATGGGTCTTTTTCAAACTAGATCGTTCAAAATGATTAAACTTTGAGACAGATTTCCCCAAAATTTAAGCAACACGGCTTAACATCAGCAAAGGGAAGGGTTAAACAGATAACATTTGTCCTTGTGAATGTGATAAGTTTAACTGATAGATTTTATTCGTGCTTCACAAAAACATTATATGGATGGAAGATATGTGCCTGATTTCCTGCACGGATCTTTTTCAGAGTGTAAGTGTTCAAATTTTAAGACACATCGATCCAGTAATAATGAAAAACTGTACAGTGATAACTCAAAGTATTTTACAGATGTTTCAATTTGTTATACTGCTGAAGATTCTGACCTGATCAAATTTTAAGACAATCTACACCAAAATTGACACAGCTCCACATAATGATAGGAAAGAGAAGGGCAGCCCGGACCCATGATCTTTTCTGCATGATAATAAAAAAATTGTCTGATCTTTTCCAAACTTCGCAACTGCCCCAAAATTGATTCAGCAGCGCTTCTGTGGCAGTAAAGGACAGTACCTGTATACAACACTTGGTCTTGTGAGCAGTTATTCTATATGTATTTTGCATAACTTTTTCTAACTTTTCAAACATGTTGTAGGGGTGGCAAATTGGGAATGATCAATTGCCCCAAAATATAAACAGAGCCACATAGTGATATTTAAAGAGGATAGGTTTGGACACTTGACATCATTACTGCCATAACTCGGACAATTTGATGATAAACTTTATCAACCTTTGCAGGCACATTATGAGTGAAGATCTGGACTTACTCAGATTTTGAGACACATCACAGCAAAATTGAAGCAAAAATGCTTAGTAACCGCAAAGAAAAGGATGAAATGATTAAAGGCTTATCTGTGTTAACTGGATCACTGTATTTGTAATTAATACTTCATATACAGATGCTCCTCTACTTACAAATGAGAAATGAACATTTCAAATTACGAATGGCCATGTAATGCAAGTCGTTATTCAGGATCATTTTAAGGATATACGCAAGTATATAGAACTAGGATGCTGGGAGTACGCATGTCACGCTGCTGCGTGGCGGGAGTAGTGGCCAGAAGTCGTACTAGGTGGAATTTGCACGCAAAAAAAAAATTGATGTTGCGGACAGGAAACGGGAGCCTAATGAACATAATTTGGGCTTACAGTCCTCTTTGTTCGTATGTTGAAAGTTCGTAAGTAGAGGGTGTCTGTGCTCTATTTGATCTTTGATAGATCTTTTTACCACTTCACAAAACCATTACATGGATGAAAATCTACATCTAAAAATGTACACTTGACTAGACCCAACATTACCCCAAATGGAATTGCAAAGACAGGACAGCCAAGGGTGAAAATTGAGCCTTTATCCACCATCTTGTGAATGCAGTCATCTGTCATCAAAAGTTATTCTGTGTATCTTTTTGCAAACTTCCCAGGAACATGGTACAGGTCAGTGATACTAGAACTTTGGGGCACAAGATTATTATAGAAAATTCAGAAAATAGTTTATATTGATTTTTCGTTGTTGAGCAGATTTTATCCATAGCAGTCTAATACTGTAGCTAGCCAGCAAAATGTATCGTGAGGAACTTGGCAAAATTTATTGTGCGAGAATTTAGTCGTCTTTTTTTTTTTTTTTTTTTTTTTTTAAAGGTATGTAGAGTGTATATTGTAGTCTTGTAATATTTTCTTTAGGCTGAGATTTTTATTTGGCTAAATTTATCGTGGGGGAATTAAATCATTTCACCGAAGTGCAGTTCAGTGGTTACAAAGATCTGGTGAACTTAATTGTATTGCGATAAGGCACACTTAAAAAAGTGCTCCAGCATCACCAGTTAGCCTGATGCTGTAAATGGATCCCAGGCATTTATGCGCATGTGTGTTTGAAAAGGAGATCCATTAGCTCATTTAATCATTCCAATTGCGAGTTTTGCCATCAGGTGAGAGAGTTACTTGTTTGATAATATATTTTTTTTTTATCTGTATACTCTGTCAGTGGTGCCCAAACAGTCGATCTCAATCGATTCTCAATCGATCGCGAAGTGCGTCTCAAGCATCCGTGCACTTCAAATCCGTGCATGCGTGCCCATTTTTCAGTGTGCAGCTAATCGTGTACTGTAAACATTTAGCATGGAAACATGTCAGAAGCCAAAAGATCAAAAACATATTTTCATTCAGAGTGGGAAGAGGATTTTTTTCATGTCTTATATGCAATGCGAGAGTGGCTTTACTGAAGAAGGGCAACTTGGAGCGGCACTTCAAAACGATGCACAAAAGCTACAAGACAGTTCCCTGCTAAAAGCCGAAAAGCACGAGAACTGAAAAGTCAGTTAGCAGCACAGCAGTCAATTTCTATCTAGCTGCATCTTCCCAGTGCCAGCAGTCCTACTAAGGTAGAGAAATACATTTATTTATACTTTTTCAATTTGGAGAATTACCTGAATTTGCTGTGTGCATGTTAACTATGTAGAAAGGCAATAGCTAGAGTAAAAGAGTAATAGCTATGGCTCCCTATTTGAACTGGTAGATCTCGGCACACTGGCCACTTGAAAAATAGATCTTGAGTTAGAGCAGGGGTGCCCAACCTTTAAGTGAATGAGCCAAGTGGTAAAAAAAAACCCTTTAATTTGTAAATGCTCTTGTTTTGGCTCATTGATGTAACTGCTCCCCGGGTGCTGAATTCTGGCTGACCCTGTGATTTGATACCAAACTTTACACATTTTTTATTCATATCATGACCTATGATATGATTTTTTTCCAAACTGACTAAAGTAGAATGTATGTAGTAATGTTAATTAACCATTTAACCACTTAATCAGCAATTGTATAATAACAGACATTGTTTTTGGCATTAATGCAACATTATTAGTAATCTTAATAAAGGCGTATAAAGTACTGTACATGTAAAAGAAACTGGCTATAGCAAAAGTGATTTAATTTTAATAATACTAAATTTAACACTTTGGTGAATAACTGCACTTCTGAACTCAGTTTACAAAAAATATGGACGAATAAGATTGATTAAATTGATTGTGTTGCCAACAGTTGCACGAACGGTATCTTTTCGCTTTATGGTAGATTGGCCCATGTAGGATATTACAAATTCTAACCATTTCCTTTCACTCAAAGTAGAACCAACCTAGTTTTTCTGAACCAGTTCTTTATCAGCCATGCTGCACATCTACAGACCATGGGTTGTCAGCATGACATGAGTGCAATATCTTTAGATGAAATTAAATTAATTTATATATTTTCTTTTTTTCTGCATTGGCTAACTGGTTAGAAAAGATTTTTTAGTTCAAGATGTAGTCGAGATTTACTGGGACTGATAAGAAAACGAAATGACACACAGACAGCATTCAGATGTTATAAAGGCTGAAATTGCTTTGTTTTGCAACCATCATTTAAATTTTTTTTGTAGTACTGTTTAAAGCTCAGAACATGCCAGCATCGTGTGATTGGTGCTTGTCTGTTTGTTTTGTCCAGAAATTTACAGTTGTCAACCACCTCAAAAATTGATATTTTACAGTCAATACATTCTATAGGGTGTTTCTAATAAAGTTTATGCATCAAAATTAATAATTTCTGACTTGTTAATCGGGGGGTGCTACAGCTCCATACAGGCTGCAGACATATTCTGTGGGCTAGAATGGTCTCAGGGATGATTTTTGAATCACAAGTGTTCAAATACAAGTCAAAATAGAGTAAGAATTCACCTTACTGGATGACAAGACCAAGTCCATTCATATGTGGCCTCAAAACAGGACTTGAGTATCATATCTCTGGTATACTGTAAAAATATATATGCAAAATTGTCTATCACAGATCAAATCAGTATGTTGGATGTCCTTTCAGTGACATATATTTAACAGCAGACAGTCCTTGTCTCAACTTCTCTCTCAAGTGTTTTGTGTAATTTATTCAGAAACCAAAATGCTTATACTCTGCCTGTCAAATATTTGTGTCAATGTGTGTTCTGAACCAAAAATAATGTAACCGAATGGCACATGACAAATGTGTGTTGTTACATCCCTAGTCAAAAATCAGTTACCTGTAGTTAAGCCGTGTTTTGTTGACTGATATTAACAATTTGTGAAACTCAAGCAGCAAAAACACCCAATGTCTTGAAATAATATAAAACAAGCCACCTACTTAAAATCACCTTGCAAGTGAGCTGTGTTCATGCACAAAAGTATCACTTCTGGTCCTGAAGTTTTCCATTCCCAATCAAACATTAGCATCCCTCTTATATTATGTGTGATTTTGTATATGAATCGACTCTGTATTTCCCTAACACTCTCAGAATTTTTGTTTCAGTATTGTACAGTTGGTTCTCATTGTTGATTGGCTCTGTAACCCCCCCCCCCCCATTTCCAGATGGTATGACTAGGATCCATTTTGTTTTCCACTCTTGGTGCCCATTTTGGGGTTGTCTTCGAAGTATGATGCAGCAGAGGGGGACATTTTAGATCCAGAAAGTAAACATCCAGATTTTGTTCAACCTACCAGTCTAGTTCTGTCTGCCTGTGACTTTATACTCAGCTGGTTAGTTGGTCTTGGCCTACATTTTTACTTTCTGGATGTGAAATGTCCACCTCTGCAATGTGGAGTATTGTTTTGACCCCATTTTTTCCATTTGGTATTGGAAAGGTAGTGTGTGCCTGTTGTGGTAGTTATTTGTGCTGGCAAAATCGATGTCTGATGCTGGTTGTCCGTCTCATATTGTGTATTTCTAACGCCTGTAAATAAAACAAGGCACAAAAATTGTCCCAGCATCTTTACCATACATAGCTACACAACCATTCTGTCATGGCTCAGCTCTAGACTGAACTGAATTTTTGTGCCAATAAAACAATATCAGCAGATTTTATCAGTCAGCCAGTATGTCCAATCTGCCAAGCCACGCTTGGTACCTTTAGGTAACCTGTTTTTGCTTGTTTTGTTCTGCTGGTATGATTCAGAGAAGAGACCTGACCTCAGAGGTGGTTTCATGCTGTGTTTTCTTGATGATGGGACTGGAATGGATCCAAGTGAGTATGTTATGGAGAAAATCAAAGTATTTGTACTGTCATGAACATATTACTGAGATCTGTATGACGCATATTTTTGGCACCTAGTCATTGTTTTTTCTGTTGTACTCTGTCTTTTCAGATGAAGCTAGACATGTCATCCAGTTTGGGAAATCTAGCAAGAGATCCCCAGAGTCCACACACATTGGCCAGTATGGCAATGGTCTTAAATCGTAAGTCTTTGTTGTTCCTTTGTATGAAGGAATCAAAGGTCTACTGAAGGTGCCCAGATTCATGAAGCAACAATCTTTCAAAGTAACTAAAAATAACCATATCCCTTAGGGGCTCTATGAGAATTGGAAAAGACTTCATTCTTTTTACAAAGAAAGAGGACATGTTAACCTGCCTCTTTCTGTCTCGAACTTTTCATGAGGAAGAGGGCTTGGATGAGGTAAGATCTTACATAATTGTAAATTTGCATCTTCATGAAACATCTTTGCTACATCCCATCATGAATATCTGATAAGTACTTTTGTCAAGACTTTTCTTGGGTTGCTGAAATAGCAGTCTGCCTGTTGCTGATTTCCAGGTTATTGTGCCTCTCCCAACGTGGGACAGCACAAGCATGCAGCCTGTCACACAGGACCCAGAAAAGTTTGCCATTGAGACAGAGCTGATCTACAAATACTCGCCTTTCAAAACGGAAACTGAAGTCATGGAGCAGTTCAAGAAAATCGAAGGAGTATCTGGTTTGTCCTCTTTATGTTGGCCAGGATGGAGTACAGTTCATTTGTGAATATTGTTATAGATATCTGTATTTGGATGACGATTTCTGATTTTTAAATCTGGGTTTAACCCCCTGGGGTCTGAGGCCTCTTTTCCACTTTCGGGGTAGTCTGACATGCCTTGACATTTTCAAAATATTTCACCTATCTAAAAAACATTTATCCCAAAGTGTTACATGTGCTTTTATTCAGCACAAACTCAGCACCAATAATCTGAGACCACTTAGAATGTTGTTATTCTATTTTTTGTTAAAATCAACTTTAAACATATGCTTTTCAAAAACCTATTTTCAGACATGAGACATTCTGAGAAATTGTAAAAAATCACATTATAGACATTTCTAGGTAAGGCTTTTGAGCACTGAAGCTTATAGACATAGGGGTTGGCTACACATAGGTGAAAGAGACATTCTGAAATTTTATGTGGTTTGATTACTAAAGTGTTAGAACTTTCGAGTGACACACTTTTTCTCAAAGTCAGTGGCCTTCACAATGAATATTGATGAGATGGGTGTCCTCACACCTGTAGTAGTTTGCATACTGTCAATGGCCCATCAGTCTGGAATGTCACTGCACCCCACACCCATCACTTTGGAAAGGCAGTTTGAAACGCAAGAAAAGTAGCAACAATAAAATCCCGTTCATAGTTTATTGGTAGATGGAATTAAAAATGAAAAACTGTGACCATATAAATATAGAAAGCGATAAATATGATGCAGTGACTATTATTAACATTCGGGACGAGGGCATCATTGACCGCTTATTTTTCTCGTGTATTTCAGTTTATATCTCGCTGAAATCATTATGTGGAATCATGAAAAAAACACTGACTAAATCCGTAATCGGTCTTCTTTTCAAAACTTCCATTGTCGGAAGTATTAAAGTTTTTAAAATTAGGTTAAATGGGCAAAAAAGCAAACCGTATCATCTTTCTTTGTTTTACTTGCATCGGGAGTGTGTAGGACTGCTCTCAGCTGAAGATCGCTATTCACGTTTAAATAGACTGGGTTTGAACCGGCGATCGTGTGATTACAGGCAGACAGGCTTAACACACTGAGCCATGGACACAGGTATGAGATTCGTTGCTGAAAATGGCAACATTGGCGCAAAGCTTCAGTGGCAGAGACGTATCCGTGTGCTATATTGTAGCCGATCAGTGCAAACACTACCCAGACATGTGCACTTGTTTATTTTGGTCACAATGGGCGTATTCACATATTCCTTTACCCAATACTAACTGTCAGATTATCATGTTATTATCATGCGAATAGCGCGATTTGCAAGTGGGAAGGCGATCAGAGCTGCTTCGAGACGCAGACGCTTAAGTCAGTCACTCTTGTTCTTTCTATTCGTATCACGAAGCTGTAAAAATATTAGTTTCTACCTATATATATTTGAAAAGTAGACCGTCCAAGGTTTCTGAGGGTGTTTTTAAAATATGTATATGACGAAAACTCGCAGAGTTATTTAAATGGTTTGGCGAAATTTCTGTCAGATCCCGCCTGCGGGACCGCCGACCCCAGGGAGGTAATTTCATATTTTATAACCATGTTTAACTGTGCATATGTACAATGTACTACTGTACTGAGTAGGGATGGGAATCAAGAACCGGTTGCAATTTGGAACTGGTTCTTATTGTTGCGAAGAACCAGAATCACATACCTCCGATTCCTCTAACGATTCATCTGCACTTTTCGTGTCATGCGAAATGACATCACATGCCACATGATGGAGCACAGGAAGTGGTCCAGGGCATGGCTTCATTTTACAAAGAAGGATGACCATTGTGCAGTGTGCAACCAATGCCAATGTAAAGCCGTTGTCATAGTGGGGTACCGCAGAGTTCAATTTTAGGTCCACTATGTATATGTGCACTTAACATGTTTATTGAACATCTTGAACACGAGTCGGATGCATTCCATCTGCCACAGAAGTGCAATTCCATGGACCTATATCAAAAAGCAAGATTTTTCACTTAGCCGGACAACTTGTCGGATTTAAAGTACCTCAGTTTAAATGGTCTTTATCTTCATTCACTTACAATTAGCCCGAACTACAGTAAATCCGACAAATAATCCGACTAATCATGAAATCCAATTCTAGCCCGGTTAACTGATATTGCTAACAATAGCAATTAACACATTACGTGCGGTGCTTTATGTATAAAACTCCGTAGCAACGTGTCCACAGAAGTTGGACGGTATAGTGTGTGTGACCGATTTAATGAGCCACAAATGAGAAGTAGTGCTTAAACAGTATAAAACTACAACTTTCCCTTCTTTTGATAATGGGCGCAGCCATCTTGGATTCTGAACTCGAGGTCCTCTGTGCTGCCCCGAGATATTTCTCGGATCTCCGAGAAACGGGAGCGCATGTGTCATCACTTCCAGATTAAAAACTCCGGAATCCGACTCTGAATACGAGTTCCGGGGGCAAATGGAACGCACCAGAACTGCCCGAAATGGGTTGACAGAGACATTTCAGTGATTTTGAGTCATTCTGTGCTGCAGATGGGTTAATTGCGTTAAAATTTTAAATCAGATTAATCACGATGATGGATTAATCCGCATTAACTCGTTAATTTTGACAGCCCTAGTGTATGTATATGTATGTATTTGTGTATGTATATATGTGTGTATGTATGTGTGTGTATGTGTATGTATATATGTGTGTATGTGTGTGTATATGTATATATATATATATATATATATATGTGTGTGTATGTGTATGTATATATGTATATATATATGTGTGTATGTGTGTATGTGTGTATATATATATATATATATATATATATATGTGTGTATGTGTGTATGTGTGTATATATATATATATATATA